CCTCTCTCTCTCTCTCTCTCTCTCTCTCGTTTTCGCCTTCCCGAGTCCGTCGAGCGATTCTTCAAGGAAAGAAGGGACTTTTTGTTGGTAATATCCTTTTGTTGGGTGCCGATCGGGGTTCGGGGATCGGGAATCAATACCGTCGTGCGATGAGGAAGAGGGAGAGGGAGAACCCCTGCGACGTTTGCGGGCATTACCACAAGTACGAGGAGGGCGAGGTCTGCGGGGTGTGCGGCCACCGGGTTGCTGCCGCGTTGGCGCGGCCGATCCAGCAGAGCAGCGCTTTCCCTTCAGAGATCGTCAAGGATTTCCTCTACCTCGGCAGCTACGACAACGCCTCCCGGAGGGAGATCCTCAAAACCCTCGGCATCACTCATGTTCTCAACGTGAGTTTACCGCCCCTTGCCTATTTGTGATTTGTCTGTTTACTGCTTTTTGAATGGTCTGTGGCTGCCTTTGATGTTGGTTACATCTAGCGAAGGGGATCTCAGGCTTGATTGCCGGATAGCATAGCGGTGGCAATCCGAAGCACCTATAGTCACTGATGGATAAATAAGTAGTGATGTGCATGAAATCTTTGCTTCAAATTAACTAATTGCTTTCTCCTTAATGTTTCTAGTCAAAGGATTATGACCTCGGTATTTTATTTTGGTGGACAGGACTAAGAACGACGCACAAAATGATATAATTTAGAATACTGTATACTTCACAGCTCACGCAGAACTTCCATTTCTTCTCGCCCATCAATATCTGCAGAACCTTTTCCGTTTCTTAGGAGATAGATCTCTGAAACAAAAGAATGTCGATTTAATGGGTAAGGCTCTCATCAATGCAGAGTTTAGGTGGGTCAATGCGCACAGTATTTTATTACCCCTACAAGTAAGGAGGTTCTTTATCACTTGAATTGCGAATAAACAATTTTACTATGACACCAAGGTCCACTGTCTGTACTGTCATTGGAAACTAAATGATTTAAATAAAGTAGGATTAAGATCAAATATGATGTAAGTTTAATAATATTAAGAGGAATGGTACGTGTAGTTAAGATGAAATGACAAAGTTCTCATAAGAATCTTGAATCTATTATTTAATAAGAACGAGAAATTGAAGAAGATATTCTTCATAGAGTAAAAATTGAGTGATTAAAGTGAAGAGGAATATCAAAAGGTTTTTATGACCATTTAGTATTTTTAGATTGAAAAAAATATGATAATTGTAAGAATAGTCATTCTTTATGGTCAAATCGTTACAAGGTTAAGAAATCACATGGTCAAGAAACTAGTGCAACTAAGAATGTTGAATCAATGTGTAAAAAAGTAATATTTTTGTTTATAAATAATTAGGTGTGGTCCTTATAGAGGAGAAAAATGGGGGGAGAATCAGGAGAGATGGTATTAACATATACAAAGAATTGATATAAATGTTGTGCTTAAACAAGATGATTTGTTTAGTACTAGTGGTATAAGGAGAGATAGAGAGAAACTAAATGATAGAGAAAGATTTAGATGCTCTTAATATAACTAGAAATGTTGTCTTACACAAAGCTCATTGACATGAAAATATTAACATAGCTGAGCATAAATAGTTAAGACACTACAACCTGTTACGCACAATTGATAATATCATCTCAAAAAAATTAGAACCATTTGGAGAAAAGGCAAATGATGATGTTAGAACCCTATCGGATTCTAAGCTTGGGGTTGATCTCTTTAGGAGATCGGCCTCCTTGGAACTCTATAGGGGTTTCTTCCTTTAAGTTGCTGCTTAAAGGCTGCAGAAAAAATTCATCTATTGCCTGTCAAAAGATGATGAATACATGATTATTTATAGGGCTTCTAAACCCCAACTCCTACTCAAGACTCCTACTTTTAACCAACTCCTAATAAGACTCCTACTCTAAGAAGCAACCTCCCAACTAACCCTAACCCTAGCCGGCCTCTTCACCTCTTTAATAGGGGTCGGCTAGGTAGGTTTTACTTGAATGCCCCTTTCAATAAAATTCAATTAGGACTCTCCTAGCTAGAGTCATAACAGACCCACCCTCTTCAAATCAGCCTTGTCCTTGAGGCTGACGATCCATGAATTCTAGGAATTTGATATTCAAGTCGTCATAGTTCTCCTAAGTGGCATTTTCTGCTGGTAGGTTCGCTTACTGTATTAGTATTTTAGTAGTGGGTTGTCATCGTCGAGTCACGATTCGTCGATCAATAATGACACTCAGCTAGGTTTGGAGTTCTCCTTGGGTAGTCTTATTTGGTAGATGACTTTGGGCTATCTCGTTTTGTCCCAGCTTGAGCTTTAAACATGACACATGGAAGACTGGATGAATTCGGGAGCTAGCGGTTAAGTCCAATCTGTATGCCATCGCTCCGATGTGCTCCAAAATTTGGTAGGGTTCATAGAACCGAGGTGAAAGCTTCATAGATGCTCTGGTCTGGTTTGATGTTTGCTTGTATGGCTGGAGCCGTAAGAAGACCCAATCTCCTACTAAAAATTCTCTTTCGCCTTTGTGTTGATCATATTGCTGTTTCATCCTTGCTTGGGCTGTAGTGAAATTATCTTTTAGTAACTTCAGCATTTTGTCTCTGTCCTGTAGTTCCCTGTCTACTTGTTCTACTTTAGAGGTGCCCAACACATATTTTGGGATCACAGGGGGTGGTCGGCCATATATAGCCTCATAGGGAGTATATTTTGTGGATGAATGATAAGTTGTATTATACCACCATTCAGCCCAGGGAAGCCACTTTGTCCACTCTTTTGGCCGGTCACTGGTGAAGCATCTGAGGTATGTCTCCAAGCACCTGTTCACCACTTCAGTCTGGCTGTCGGTTTGTGGGTGATACATCGTACTCATTTTCAATTTAGTGCCATGCATATGGAATAACTTTGTCCAACATCTGCTCGTGAAGATGCAAGTAGAATTTGGCACAAGCACAATGCGTCCCTTATAGCGTAATTCTTTTGAGTTCCAACTGTAATGAGCCACGAAGCTTGGTGCTTCCTCAAATTTTTTTATGATCTTACTAGTCTCCGGATCTTCCTGCCATTCCCTCTTAATATCTTCAAGGAAGTCGCTGGTTGAAAGTGAAACGATCGAAAATTCACCTTGCTCGGGTAGTCGCAAAAGTGCATCTGCAACAACATTCTCTTGCCCCTTTTTGTAAGTTATTTCATAATCATATCCAAGAAGCTTTGTTACCCATTTTTGCTGCTCGGGGAAGATATCTTCTGCTCCAAGAAATATTTTAGGCTTTTATGGTCGGTCATGATTTGAAAGCGTCGCCCGATCAAGTACGGTCTCCACTTGGCCACCGTATGCACAATCGCGAGCATCTCCTTATCGTAAATAGTCATCTTGAGATGGGAAGGAGATAATGCCTTACTGATATAAGTGAGGGGGCGACCATTTTGCATTAGTTCAACACCAATCCCGACTCTGGAGGCATCGACTTCAATAACAAGTCTTGCCGAAGTCGGGTAGTGCTAGTACGGGCGTTGTCGTCATTGCGACTTTAAGTTCGTCGAAGGCGGTGGTGGCTTTGTCCGACCATTGGAAAGCATTTTTTTTCAGCAAGGAAGTAAGGGGTGCACTGATCTTTCCATAGTTTTTCATGAACTTGCTTGCAGTAGTAGCCTGTTAAACCGAGAAAGTCCGCGTAACGATTTTATATTTCTCGGGGTCGGCCAGTTCTGCATTGCTTCAATTTTGGAGGGGTCCACCGTCACACCTTCCTCTGATATGATATGCCTAAGATATTCCATCTTATGTTGAAGAAAGTTGCACTTCGATTTTTTGACAAATAGAACATGTTCTCGTAAAATCGTTAAAACAAGTCGTAAGTACTGAAAATGACTTTCAAAAGAAGGGCTGTAAATAAGGATATCGTCGAAGAAAACCAGCACAAACTTACAAAGATAATTATGGAAAATATCATTCATAAGGCTCTGGAAGGTGGAGGGAGCATTGGTGAGACCAAATGGCATTACCAAAAATTCGTAGTAATCATTGTGTGTTCGAAAGGCGGTTTTCGGTATGCCTTCTTTGCACACTCGTATTTGATGATACTCGGATCGAAGGTCCAACTTTGTGAAGACTTGTGCTCCCTTTAATTCATCAAGCAATTCATCTACTACTGGAATAGGGTATTTGTCCTTGACAGTTATGCCGTTGAGAGCTCGGTAATCAATGCATATTCGTCATGTTCCGTCCCTCTTTCGTACAAGGAGCACCGGTGAAGAGTAGGGGCTGCAACTTGGCCGAATAACTCATGTTTCGAGCATCTCGTTTACAATCCTTTTTATTTCATCCTTCTGGAGATATGGATACCGATATGACCGAGTATTTGCTGGAGGTTTGCCCGGAAGAATCGATATACAATGATCATGCTGACGGGTAGGAGGTAGGTTGCGTGGTTCATCAAATATATCTGAAAATTCAGCAAGCAAAGGAAGTAGGTTTGAATCTTCAAATTCTGTTGGCTCTTCCTTAGTTTGCTGCTCAAGTTGTACCAAAAAGCCGCTGCATGCTTTGTGCAAAACCTTCTTCATTCGTTGTGTGCAAATCATCGTTATGTCGCCCCCATGTTTCCCGTGCAGTATCACTTGTTTTCCCTTACTATAAAATTTCATAATTAGTTTCACAAAATTCCAAGAAACATCACATAATGTCGTCAGCCATTCGATGCCAAGCACGGCCTCATAATCATCAAGAGGGAGGAGGAAGAAATATGCAATTATCTCTTGGTCCTGCAGCAATAGTTTCACCTGCGGGCACCTATGATCATACTTCAAAATTCGTCCGTCGGCGACCTTAACGTTAAACCTACTACAATTCTCGATAGGTAAGGCCATCCAGACAGCAACCTTGTTGTTCATAAAATTATTAGTGTTTCCGGTGTCAATAAGAACGGTGATAGGTTGTTGCTTCAGAAGTCCTCCCACTTTCATCGTTTGCGGGTTCGCGTAACCGGCAAGGGCATGCATTGTAATATCAATCGGCTGTTGTTCTTCATCCGCGACCTCTTCCTCATGCTCCTGGATTTCCTCCTCCATGCCTTCAAGAGGTTCAATCAGTAGGAGGCGGCCCCTTTTGCAGTGATGATTGCGGTTCCACGGCTCGTCGCAATGCCAACAAAGACCCTTTGCTGATCGGTCACGTAGTTCTTCTCTTGTCAAATTTTTTGGCAGTGAAGGATGGCTGGGTGCAGAAGGAGGTTTATATGCCGCGGGCCTAGGAGAGGTTCTCATCCTCCGAGCATCTTGGTTGAGTCGTTCTTCTTGTATTCGGGCGAAAGAAATCGCAGCTGTCACGATACGAGGCTACCGCGTCTTAACCTCCCCTTTTATCTTTGGCTTGAGTCCTTCGATGAATGTTCCTAACAATTGACGGTCAGTCCAATCACGAGCAAGGTAGGATAGCTTCTCAAATCTGGTTTGGTACTCTTGAATCGTAGAGGTTTGTTGAATCTTTGCGAGTTGGCCATCGATATTTTCATACTCCGTAGGCCCGAAACGATTCAACAGTGCGTTTTTAAATAGATTCCACGTCGGAGCCCCATGATTGTATTCCGGCCAATTGTACTATTGAATAGCATCTCCTTCAAGGTGGATGACAACAATTTCCACCATAGCATCATCCGACGTTCGGTAGTAGCGAAAGTAACGTTCTGCGCGCGAAATCAACCCCGTTTGGTCTCCTTCTTCCCATCGCGGGAAGTCCACCCTCATGCGTGATTGAAGCATGTCCGAGGGCTGTCCCTCCTTCTCTGAAGGCCTCTTTGAACTCTCTCCTTGCTGAAATTTGGTTGGACTCGACGGTTGTCCAATTCTGAATTCTGCAAACAAAGCGCGCAATTTGTCCTCCAAGCGCGATTCAATCCGAGATTCTCATGCTTCAAATTTGGCTTCAAATTTGGCATCAATTGGATCTTGAGAAGCCATAGCATATGCCTGTAGATCAGAGATGTCCCTGTCTTTTTTCTGTTGACGGGTTAATGGCATGGGGTGGTGGAAGGTTCGAAAAAATTGAGGATCACTGAAAGGTACTGCAGCAGATTTTTACGTCTAAAGTGTAGTAGTTTGGACGTAAAAGGTCAGCGGTTTATATTGAGAATTGTTTGACGAAACCAAAAGGAAATCTGCTGTTAGGAAGTGTTAAAGCTGTCGTAAAAATTTCGTAGAGATTTGGACAGAAAAAACGTAGTAGCAAGATTAAACAAACTATATTATGCGATTGGAATTCTGCGGTGCATCTAGCAGTTTGGACGTAAAAGATCAGTGGTTTATATTGGGAATTTTTTGACAAAACCAAAGGGAAATCCGTTGTTAGGAAGTGTCAAAGTTGTCATAAAAATTTCGTAAAGATTTGGACAGAAAAAACACAGTTGCAAGATCAAACAAACTGTGCTATGTGGCTGGAATTCTGTAGTGCATCTAGCAGTTTGGACGTAAAATATCAGTGGTTTATATTAGGAATTTTTTGACGAAACCAAAGGGAAATCCGCTATTAGGAAGTGTCAAAACTGTCATAAAAATTTCGTAGAGATTTGGACAGAAAAAACACAGTTGCAAGCAAGGTTTTACTTACCGAATCATACCGCCCGATACGGGCGGTACGTACTGGTCCGAGAGACGACCGGTACGCGGAGTGTACGGTACCACTGTAGCACTGTAACACTGTAACACTGTAGCAGTGTACAGTAACACTGTAGCAGTGTACAGTGCTCGGTACACGTGAGTGTACCGCTCGGTACACCTGGGTGTACCGAGCGGTATACCGTACCGGTACCGAGCCTGGGTCGAAACGCCGGTACGGTACGGTACGGCGAACCTTGGTTGCAAGATCAAACAAATTGTGCTATGCGGTTGGAATTCTATAGTATATCTTTCGTCGTAGAGATAAAAACTTTGCGACGAAAAGTTTATGCAGCAGTATAGGAACGATTTTTTTGGATTTTTGAATAAGGATAACTAAATTGCAGCAGCAGTAAAGTAGGAAACCATAACCTGTTGTAATTCACGGGGAAATCAGAGGATGATTTGCGGTGGTGGAGATAACGGCGGAATTCGACGACGATCTTTTAAGCAATTGTGGGAATTGTTTTGGGCGGCCGTGGAGGGCTGATGGATGGCTGTGGAAGGGCAGCGAGACGCCAAGAGCGCTGCTCTGATACCAAGTGTTAGAACCCTAGCGGATTCTAAGCTTGGGGTTGATCTCTTTAAGGGATCGACCTCCTTGGAACTCTATAGGGGTTCTTTCCTTTAAGTTGCTGCTCAAAGGCTGCAGAAAAGATTCATCTATTGCTTGTCAAAAGAGGATGAATACATAACTATTTATAGGGCTTCTAAACCCCAACTCCTAATAGGACTCCTACTTTTAACCAACTACTAATAAGACTCCTACTCTAAGAAGCAACCACCCAACTAACCCTAACCCTAGCCGGCCTCTTCACCTCTTTAATAGGGGTCGGCTAAGTAGGTTTTACATGAATGCCCCTTTCAATAAAATTCAATTAGGACTCTCCTAGCTAGAGTCCTAACAGATGATTTTGATAGCATATACTCTAAAACGAAGACTTTGGGAGAGAGAGCCAACAAGAAAACCTGGGGCCTCTTGTAGAAATCTCAAAGAATATGTGTCTAGTTTGAGAAAAAAACTAAGGTTATACAACTTATTATGTTGAGTAATAAACTTAAATTGTCACGTAGGAGGTTGATTTAACTTAAACTGATTAAATATATTATCTTTTGAGTTTTGACTGATTTATAATGGATCAGTTCGACTTAAAGGCATATAGTGAACTATTATAATATTGAGACTAAAGCTTTAGTAGTTGCAATGCTGATGTTAACCAGCTACTGCAGTCACAAATGTTCCTAAACACAATATGCCATGTCACAACTATAGCATGGTGCCTGTTTCTGCAAAACACCCATTGCTGTCATCACACTGGCTGCTTTAATGAACAGTGAACAGAAATAGCCATTTCTTAGTATTATGGTTATGTTGTTATATCTTGAATTATAAGGGCTCTAGTAGGATTTTTCTTTCACAATTTGATTTTTTTTATATATATCAAATATCAAGTTTGACCTTATTGTGCGTTTGAGACATAGAGTTTGTACTGGATTTCAATCTAACCATGTAATTTCCCTACTTCTGCTCCCCTCCCAAAATTGATGTGTGCTTTAAATATAGATCTTAACCTAAGCGAGTTATCTTACTCTTGAAAATATTCTTTTACCTGATGTCATTGTTGGATTATGAACTTGCAGACAGTACCAACTTGCCAAAATCTATACAAGAACTCCTTTACTTATCATTGCCTCCAAGATAACAAGAGTCTACAATTTGATGAAGCAAACCAATTTTTAGGTATGGTTTTTGTTTCTTAACATCATTTACATCAATAATTTGGCTACTTGAAATTGTTTTCCTGGATATGAGCTATATTGACATAGAATTGGCAATTTGACATCTTAAAATTGCTGCGCTGCATGTCACTCTATTGTAATTTATATTGAGTCGACAGTTTGATATCCCAGAGAATAGCATATAGTACTGCAGAGATGGTTGGCACAATATACAATTTGCTGATCAGTCTTCAATAAACTTAAATCTCTGCCGCTGAAGAATTGGAGATTAGTTTTCCTTTTATGTTCTTACCTCTTCCAGGATGGATATTCCACTTGAAACTTGGATTTACTGCTCTTCTTTTCTATGTATTAAAACTGAAGAAACATATAATCAGGAGAAATCCTTGCTGAGTTTTGTGTCAAATTTTTGGCAGTTAGTTACAAGACAGTGTAGGACACCAGTCATTCTGCCAAGTGTTACTTGTCAGGACTTCAAAAAGTATGTAAAGCCTATCGCATTTTTCAAAATTTAAGGTGTTTGTGTTAGCAATGATCGAGCATAATCATAAGTGAATGTGGAACATAATCAGCTAAGAGGACAACATATTATTAGGCTCTCCTATTGGGTAGAGCTGCCTAGTTCGGACATTACAGCTTCTTGTTATTGTTTTTGCCTATAATTTGGTATGCAGAGGAATATGCAAAATACTAATTGAGGTTTCGTTAAATTAAAAGGGCAAAATTATACTAGTTGTATGTGACTTCAACGACCAACTCCCATATGGATTTTGCTGTTTCCATGATTGTTTGTATCCTTTGCATAAATTGCAATGCTTTACTCAGACCTTACACTGTGGTTCTATGTTTGATCTGGACCAGTAGATATTGGGTGGCATGTAAGATGGCTTGTCAGGTTAGCAATACGGACCACAACATGTGCCTCCCAACTCCATATATACTCAAATCTCTAAAAAAGGTTCGACTACCAGACCTGTACCAGATTTTACCTGAAAGGTTTTTATTGTTAGTTGTTTACCTTTACCAGACCCATAGACATTTGCATACCTGAAATCTCAAACTATACCTTACACACATTGTTTAGTTGTTTGATGTATTTCAACCACTTGGATTTTGGCCTTTCCGCCATCCATGTAGGTTTTATTTGCTTTCCATTAAAATTCACTATATACATGCAGAGAAATGTGACAAGGACAAAGCTCGTGTGCTTGTCCACTGTATGTTGGGAAAGAATAGGTTAGTTTGCTTCACGTACATGTTTACATAAAACATTAGATATGGTTATCATGTGTGCACTGTATGAGCCATTGTTTTCTCTTGACAGATCTCCAGCAATTGTGATAGCCTATCTGATGAAATGCAAAGGATGGAGATTTTTACAAAGTTATCAGTGGGTTAAAGATCGTCGACCAATGGTGGAGTTGTCTCCAGGTTCTTGTTTTTCCCTATATGATCATATAAGAATGGAGCTCTTGGAAGTGCAAAACTTGGCATAATTGCATTTATCTTTCTTAGTAATTAGTCTTTTTTCTTTATATATATATATGTTCCGGTTTATGCTGGACATTGGAATTCAGAATCTTAAAATGATGGTTCTTCTTTCTTTCACCGAGGATCCGTACGTACATTACCTGTGAATCAGATACAGTTGCAATAACTGGTTGATTTTAAGCTATTTATCTGCGCAACTCAGATCTGTCTTCTCTTGCAGCTATCCATCAGCAATTGCTGGAGTATGAAGGAAAACTTTTTGGATCCAGTGAAGCCATGACTCTGCAGCTATCCATCAGCCATGACTCTGCAGCCTCTGAATCACTTCCATCTTTTGGGTTTGGATTCCCAAAAGCAGCCGATACATCTTCAGCCCCAATGTTCAATCAGCCAACCTCATCTGTCTTGGAACGATCCATTCCAAATGCGTTCGGAAACGATTTTGTCTTTGGAGCAGAAAGAAATATAGAGCAGAGAATGATGGAAACCGGTGCTTTCGTCATCGTGCCACCCAATGCGAGTGAAACCCCTATGGACAGCTCGTAAAGAATTGGTCCGGCCTGTTCCGCAAAAGGTGAAATCTGCTGCTGAAAAAAATGGAGGTCCACTTTGTATCCATAAGATGGGTGATGTGAATATGGCTTGTCACTCGGGTTTGGCATCACAAAGTGGTCTTTGGGAAACCGTTGTGTTGTAAACTTTTCTTCCACATTTTCTAAGAGAACTGAAGAACGTTATGAACGAATAATTTATTGCTCATACAAATGTCCAACCACAGGAGGAATTCTTGCTTGGGCCATGTTTACCACGTGGTGTTAGCAACACGCACAGAAGTCTTTACGATGATTTGTCTTCGAAAGTGCATCTTTTTACGACTGTTGTTTACGTGTATCTTTTGTCGCCGTTATTAAAATTTATAAAAATAATTAAATTTTTATTTGTAGTATTTATTAAAATTTTTATAAGAATATTTTTTTTTATCATCTCGAATGGTTCAGTAGCTTTTTGAGCATATATTTTTATCATCTCAAAAGTTGTATTTTATTTATTTTTTATCAAGACGATATATAATTGTCCATTATAAAATTTATTATGTATCTCGTCATCTCACTATCTTATTGAATAATTAATTTATGATATTAATTAATTAATATTGATAAAAAAGGAAAATCTTTTGATTTCGTAATTCATTGTGTATCTCCTCATATTAGTCATCCTAAGTTTGCTTCATGAATGATATATTTATTAGTTTCAATATCTTATTGAATAATTAATTCATGATACTTAAATCTTTTACTTAATTAATATTTATCAAAAAAAATCTTTTGATTTTGTGCTATCTGGAAAGCTCTTTTTAATGTAAGACTGAAAAATGATTCTTTTCTTTAATTGGGTTTGGTTTGATTTTGACTTTTTTTAACGTAAGTAAGTCAAAGTGATTCTTTTCTTTTCATTTTAATAAAATAAGAGAATGAAGAATGAAATTGTAAATGTTCTATTTATACATGATGAAAGAGAAGATTTCTTTAACCGACTAAAGAAATCTTATCTGCTATACAGTTGAGGAAATCTCTCTGTTATCACGTTTGGCTTGGCTCTTGGATTTGGATCATTTGTCATCCTATTATATCTTTTTGGTCTAATTCTTGACATATGAATCTTAGACAAATCGAATTATATAAAATTTATAATAAGTAATTTTTTTTTCCATGGAGCAATCATTTAGTTGTTGTTAAAAATAAAACAATGTTACCCTTATAATACGATTAGCTTAGTTCACATATGATTAAGCCAGACAAAGAAGCAGTTCATTTACCCCATCACATTCCCCATCAAAGAGACGCGATCTCACCTCTCCTTTTACACTAACATGACGTCGAGCATATTTTATCCTATAAATAGGAGAGGAACATGTTAATGTATTCAAGCTAAAGTTTATCTACTTCAATAAAGCTTCTTATATTATATTGTTCTTATCTTCTATTATTTCTATCATGGTATCAGAGCCACTTGCCTAGAGCAAGCTCTCTTCTCGCTGCCAATTCATCATTGGTGTTGCCACTCTGCGCCAACGTCCGTTCCCTTCCGCTACGGCATCTCTAGTGCTGCTCATCAGCACTGCCCCACCTTTCTTCGTCGTTGTAGCTATTTTCCTTCTTCTTCTGCTACACTTTCCTCTTCTACTACAGCTTCCTCCTCTGTTGCAATTTCCTCCTTTGCTGTAGTAGCATCACTGCAACATTGCTGTAGATTTCTTTTCTACCGTCGCAGCCGTCGTAATCGCAACCACGACCAACGTCGTTGAGAAAAGCGAAGCTTCGCTCTTGCCTTCGGCAAGCGACCAACGTCGCTGAGAAAAGTGAAGCTTCACCCTTCGGCCAGCGACCAACGCCGTTGCATTCCTAAGAGGCTCCGTGGTCAATCCTCATCTTCCTCACCGCGGTAGTCTTCGTTGATCTGTCAACATTCGGCAGACTTAAGGAGAATGAAGGGAACGCCTGTGCCATCACAGCAACAGCAATCGCAGCAACAGCAGCAGCGATCTACACTTATCTTACTCACGAAGCCTCTTTCTTACCGATCCAAGATTGGTATCCTTGTCAGGAGCACCATCTTGCGGGGGTATGATAGAAGATAAGATTTCCCCATTATATGAGGAAATCTTATCTATTCTGTTGAGGAAAATCCTCTATTCTGTTGAGTAAAATCCTCCCTCTTAATCCTATAAATAGGAGAGGAACATGTTAATGTATTCAAGCTAAAGTTTATCTACTTCAATAAAGCTTCTTATATTATATTGTTCTTATCTTCTATTATTTCTATCACCATCACCCCACCTAAGTAAAAGGCCCAACTATTTCTATTCACCTTCAGTGCTAATGTCTCTTCCAACTATTTCTATTTTCACTCAACAAAGCACCCTTGTTGAACCAACCAGTTCTCTGGTCGCTTCTATGATCTTACTTTGGTTCCCTCGTGTTCGCTTCTATCTATACCCAATAACAAACACTCATCATCACATGAGGGAGTATGAGATTCCAAATATATCAAAAATGATGGCATGAACAATTTTTTTTTCTCCAAATCTATTATAACTATCTTATAAAATGTTTACACTTGTAATTTAGTATCAACTCTTTTTCTCTTTCACCTTTGTAAGTTAATCTTCGATAAAATGAGAGTAAGTCATGAACATCTTTGAAGAATTTATTTATACTTTCTAATCTATTTGTCGTGAACATTGTATACTAATATCTAGAGAAAATTACATTAGTTTATTTCACTTTTTTAATTTTAGATTTTCATATGAATTTTTTTTTTGTGATTTTTTCTTAATTTTTTGCCTGTATTTATTAAACTTGGTGCAAAATAGGACTCTAGCAATTACCAAAACCAGTTTTGTAGCATCTCCATCTTGTACATCGATTATTATAAGTTTTTTTTTATAAATGACTATGCAGTAACCATACTTTTACTTTTGGAAGGATCTCCTTCACAATTAAAAGAATTTTTTGGATTTGATTATTGATAATCATTAAGTTTTCAAATTTAATAATATAAATTTTCGATTGATACAAAAACCACTCCCATAAATTTCTGCACTTAATCTTCATTACAATAAAAGCAATTGAAATTAATTTATTATAACCATTGATATTGTAGCTATCATCAAGACATCGACATTAATACCAAAAATAATTTACATATATAATCTGAAACTTCTAAGGCAAGCATCGAAAGCCCAAAAAATTCTTTAAGAATAATATTTTGACATCAATATCAATTGAACATGAGTCTCATGAAGCTTTTAACTCCCTTAGAAATGAAATTATATTAAGTGTATGACTGCCCATAATCAACTTTATTAAATGCAATCTCTTATGCAAAAAAGTCATCTTATATGATACAATAACTCTGATTTTTTTTAATATCGATAATAATAATTTTTGATGTATAATTAGCATTGACAAATTACATTCATGTTCTCTATCAAAGTTTGAAAATTTTGAAACCTTCAATTCTACAACGAGCTACAAGTAATTGGGAACTCTACATCAGACTTTTTATCTTATAATCTCAAAGTTTGTTTGAATCATATACTCTTTTAAGATTTTTTAAAATTCCTCCTTATCTCAAAATACTTGTAGAAAGACATTTATTAGATTACAGATTGGTATATATATATATAAAATCAATAAATTAAATTTGAAGTCATTCAAATATACTAACAAAAAGTTCAATATCGGAAAATTCATCATTTCTAGCATAAGGATTTATGTCGTTTAACAACATCTTGGCTACAATAATATTCAAGAAACATTTGTCTAATATTATTATATATATATCATTGTTTAAAATAACTTGCTTGCCAATGACATCTAATACATCGTACATATATGGATTAATGTCACATTTAATCTTTTATCATATCTTTTCTTTATCGAATTCATTTTAAAAGACATTAGCATTTTCAATATCTCACTTAATTTGATTATCAATATCATCAAGAATCAAAAATACTTTGATCTTCACGCCTACGACGTGGTGGTCTAGCTCTCCCTCACCTCCGCCTACGGCCTCTCCACCTTTATCCATTGCTACGCCTTCGTCGCTTCCTCTTTCTCGATAAATTAGATATTTTTTTAAAACTTAAATTATATATGTTATTATATTAATGATTTATTATGGGTTAGTATGTCATGTAAGCAGATTCTAATGTCTATCAACTCAGATTTGATAGGAGGGACTTATATGTTACGTTTTTTAAAATATAGGGGTTATTTTAGATACAAATAAAATCATAATGGCTTAAGTGATCCGACCAAAATCATAGAGGCTAAATGAACCTCTTTTTTTAAAACTTTAATTACACATGTCATTATATTAATGGTTTATTATGAGTTAGCATGTCATGTAAGCAAACTCTAACGTCTATTAACTTAGACTTGACGGGAGGGGCTTATATGTAATATTTTTAAAAATATAAAATTATTTTAAACACAAGTAAACTATAAGAGCGTAGTTCATAACAAAAATCACATGGGCTAAAATGAACCTTTAATCCTTTTATCACGGATTTAGCTGGGTTTACCTAAGTCGTGCGGCACCCTTGCGTGTCTGTCCGCAAAGGTCAGCCTCCCCGAAGCTTCCCATGGTCCCTTAGGACCTACAAAAGAGAAAACGGGTTAGAGAAAGCGCCTCACTTGGGATCCACAAGCAAACATTCTAGGAAACACTTCATAGACAATGCAAATTATAAACAAACTTTATAAGCTCTGAACAGTTGCATAATAAAGAGTCAAATTGATCCATTACAGACCAAAAATCTCTCATAAGTGTCTACATGACATAACATTTATTTACAAGCCTAAGGCGGCTACCAAACCCAACTAGAATGGGACTATTAAGCCTTCGACCATCCCTCTACATGCTGTGTAAAGCATGAACATATAAAAAGACACGGACATACATAAGCATTACATCAAACATCCTGTTTAGAAGTTTGTTAATGACATTCTCCCCCACTCATTCCTTCGACGTCCTCATCGAAGCCTTTTGCCGACACTGCAACTCCTCATCTTTGTTGAGTCTTCAATCTTCTGCTCCAACTGTAATGCGCCTCTTGGCTCGCAGCTGCTCTTCGTTGCTGTTGTTGAGTAGTCGAACTTTTGATCCGCTATGCTGTTTCAACTCGCCAATGACTTTGCCTCTAGTGTGGGGTTGGCTGAGTTGTGTTGATCCTTGTTGATTCCTGCGGATCCTCCAGAGAAAGGAAAAAACCATCCTTACTATGTGCTAGTCTCTCAAATACCACATACTACTTGAACTGGGTGGATGCTTGTTGG